TAAGTCAATTAATAAATTTTTTAAAATAAAGCACCCAAAAATAGTGCATGATTAAAGAACCGAAAGTGATTTGCCCCCCAAAATTTTTAAGTGTTCAATTTAATTGATTGAGGTTTCGAACTTCACTAATATCTTAAAAAACTATTTTCTTTATTCTTAAAAATCATATACTGTCTAGAAAAAAAATAGTATATAATTAAAAAAAAAAAGAGTAAAATGAACTGTCCTACAATTTCACGAAACACAAAAGTCAAGTGAAATGATTGTTAACAATAGCTAATATATTCTTTTCATTTCATAATAGTAGAAAAATAGAGAGAGTAATCTTATACCTTAGCCCCAAAAACGCTCTGACCTCTCTCTTCTTAATGTCCGCTTCACTCAACCCTCGTCCTTCGACTCAGGAGGGAGACCTTCTGAGTAGATCAATCAAACGAATCAAAGGCGGGGATTATCCAGCAATTGATGAGGATTATCAAATGATCAAAAATTCTACCCAGCCTTTGTCGTACAAAGATTTGGTTCTACGCAGCAACCAATCTGGATATTCTGGAAGAGGATTCAGATTGTGAGGATGATGGCTCAATTCCCACAATCCTCATTTCAAGAGAGGAGAAGAAAAGAATACGCTCGCCATGGCTTAATTCCATTATCATCAAGGCATTCGAAACTAAATCAGCGGGTTACAACTTCATATACCCAAGAATCAAAGCTCAATGGAAACCGAGAGGAAGGATGGATTGTGTCGATCTTGGTGTGGATTTTTCCCTCATAAGATTTCAAGAAAGAGAGGACTTGCTAAGAGTTCTGAATGGCGGTCCATGGTTTGTGGGTCCTTACTACTTAACTATTCGACAATGGGAACCGGCTTTTGATCCAGAGAAAGCGGCGTTCACTACCACAGCTATCTGGGCAAGACTACCCAGGCTGCCAATTGAGTATTATGACATGAAAATTCTTGAAAGAATTGGGAAATTATTGGGGAAGCCTCTGCGATTGGATGCTCATACAGCACATCAGACAAGAGGACAGTTTGTTAGGATTTGCGTTCAAGTAGATCTTGTTGAGCCGCTTGTCCCCTTTGTTAGGATTGGTAAGCATATCCAGAAAGTGTTATATGAGGGTCCAGTAGCTCTTTGTTTCTCCTGTGGATGTGTTGGCCACAAAGAGAACTCCTGCCCACTTAAACTGTCACAAGCCCCTGCCGTTATGGAGGAGGACTCCCCCAATTGTACCAAACCTGTCAATGAGGATGCTAAAGATGATACTGTGATAGAAGAGTGTCCGGGATTTGGTCCATGGATGCTTGTTGATAGGAGGAAAAATAGGAGGAAGCTTAATGGAAAGGCACCTGGTTCTGGGAATCAACAGAGCAATCTAAACTCCTCACATGGAGGGAAACTGAGTAGCCAACTCACTAAATCGCGAAGTGGGTCGAAGCAGAGGGACGAGATGGTCAATACGTTGGGGAACAACCCAATTAATGATCCTACCGTTGGCACTAACGGAAGCATCGATACTAACGGACCTCTGAATCATTCCCAAAATCAAGGACCCAAACTTAGTGCTAACCAAATTAGTTCAAATGTTACTACCTCGTCCCATACTAACTCTATTTCTTTTATGGTGCAGGATCCTCCTGGATTGCCTCGGGATAATGCAAAAAGGAAAGATATCTTTATTACTTGCTCCAAGGGAACACGCAAGGAGGATAAGTCTAAAAAAATCTCTGCTGGTGGTCATCCAAAAGATGTCAATAACCTACAATCTACGTCGCCCTCCACCATTGGAAGTTTGGGCAATGGATCCAAGGACCTTTGGGAAACTGTGCCAACTGTGGGACATTTATCTAGTCAACGAAGAGAACAACATTTTGTCAATGGAGAAAGCATTGTCATTGCTTCTGCAAAAGGAATCAGCACTGGTGGAAGGTTGGGATCGAGACACAGTAGCCAGGAACTGGACCCGTCCGATTATGGTTCAAGAGGGAGTCGATCCCATCCCTTATCTTCCACCCCCAACCGAATGGATATCGCTTCCCCCTCCATTGGAAACCCCAGACATGTGTCATGAGAGCTCGCTTCATTCAGAAGACTATTCCGTTCTACTTCCCAGAAGTGAACATGTTGATCAAGAACAGATCGAGCGATTCAGTCCGTTGGAATCAGGAGCTGGGCCATTGGGTCATGAATTCCTTCAGTAACATAGCGTGGTCAATGAAAGTCCTTTCATGGAATTGCCGCGGAGCAGCTAATGAAGAGTTCAAAAGGAATGTTAGAGAGATCATCCGTGAACACAATCCTGGACTCTTTGTCATCATGGAAACTAAACTCAATGGTGATAGGGCGATAGAGGTGGCTCGAAGTCTGGGATTTCCAAAATGGGAGATAGTAGATGCTGAAGGCTATGCTGGCGGGATTTGGCTCCTTTGGGATGATTCCCGATTCTTAGTGGAGACCCTTAACAAAGGCTCCCAAGTCATCCACGCTCTTGTTAAGGTAATTTCTCATCCTTATTTTACTGGTTTTGAGTGGTTTTTATCTGCTGTTTATGCTAGACCTCAGTTTAATATTAGATGATTGCTCTGGGATAACCTAAGAGAATTTTCTCAGACCATCAACGGCCCTTGGATGGCCATTGGTGATTTTAATGACATTACTGTTCAATCTGAGAAATTTGGGGGAAACCCATTCCCTTCTTATAGAATTCAAGCTTACACAGAATGCATGTCCTATTGTAATCTCATGGATTTAGGATTTAATGGCCCTAAGTTTACTTGGGTTAATAATAGAAATGCTAATCAACTGATTTGGGAAAGACTAGATAGAGCGTGGGGTAATCCAGCTTGGAGGATTAAATTTCCCGAAGCTACTATCTTTCACCTCTCGAGACTTTCCTCTAATCACTGCCCTATTATGGTTTCTCTTCATCCTACTGTTCCAACCTTAGGAGATAAACCGTTTCGTCTTGAAAAGTTTTGGTTAGATCATGAATCCTTTAAAGAGTTATTTGCTTCAGAATGGGTCCACACTAATCTTTCCATATCAGAGTGCTCTACACATTTTAAAAATTCTGTTCGGGTGTGGAGCAGAACTGTTTTTGATAATATTCACAAGAAAAAGAAAGAGATTTTGGCTTGGCTAACGGGCATTCAAAAGGCTCTTCAACTCAAAAACAGTTCCTTTCTCTTGAATTTAGAGAAGGGACTAAATCAGGAATTTCAGTACATCCTTAAACATGAAGAGGATTTATGGTTTCTTAAGTCTCGTACTCAATGGATTCTAGATGGAGACAAAAACGCTAGGTTCTTTCATGTCTCTACTATCAAACGTCAATCCTATAATAGAATTATGGGACTTAAGGACCTTCAAGGATCTTGGGCTTATGATCCTGAAGGAATTCATAACATAGTCCTCGCCTATTTTAAAGATTTGTATACTTCCTCCCTAGATCATTCATTTCATGATTTGTTTGGGGATATAACAAAGGCGCCTACTGTGGATTACTCTGAATGGGACCTTCTCATAGCTCCTCCATCAGATGTAGAAATCTGGTTAGCTGTGAAATCTATGAAAGCTTGGAAAGCCCCAGGTCCTGATGGGCTTCATGTAGCTTTTTTTCATAAATTTTGGGAGCTTCTCAAAAGTAAACTCTGTTCTGAAATCCAATTGGCTTTTATTAATGGGGTTATGCCGCATACTTGGTGTCAAAGTCTTATCACACTAATTCCCAAGGTCCCTAATCCGGAGAAGATCTCCCAATTTTGTCCTATTGGTCTGTGTAATGTGGCTTATAAGATCGTTACCAAAATTATTATTTTGAGACTTAAAAAGAAAATTGGTAATTTTATTTCTCCCCTTCAAACTAGTTTCATCCCGGGTAGAAGCGGAATGGATAATGTTCTTATTTTGAGAGAGCTAGTTCATTCCTTTTCTAAAAGGAAGGGGTGTGTGGGAGATATGATTGTGAAACTTGATTTGGACAAGGCTTATGATAGATTAGAGTGGGGTTTTATCCGAGAAGCCCTTAGTTTCTTTAATTTTCCCCCACCTCTAATTAAGTTGATTATGTCTTGTATTTCTTCATCGGAATTTGCTATCATTGTGAATGGGAGAATTGGTGATCATTTTCAACCTTCTAGGGGTCTTAGACAAGGGGACCCTCTTTCCCCTTATCTATTTATCCTTTGTGTTGAATATTAATCTCTTAAGCTACAAGGTGGTATTGCTTTTGGTAACTGAAAAAGGACCAAACTGGGTAAGAAAGGTCCCTGTCTTTCCCACCTATTTTTTGCAGATGACCTGGTTTTTATTGGTAAAGCTACTATAACCGATGCTACCTTTCTCAAGGAGGTACTCTTCTCTTTCTGCTCTTGGTCGGGATAGCAAGTTAATCTTGATAAATCAAAAATTCTTTTTTCTGTCAATACCTCGGAGCCTGTCAAGAATGCTATTTGTTCCGTTCTTTCCATTGCTGAAACGGATCATTTGGGAAAATATCTTGGTGTCCCCATCACTCCCAAAAGGATATCTAAATCAGATTGTAATTTTATTGTGGATAAGGTGCGGCAAAAACTCACTGGCTGGAAAGCTAGTATGTTGTCCGTTGCTGGTAGGACTACTCTTGTTTATTCAGTTCTGTCATCCATTACTAATTATTATATGCAAGGTATGTTTCTCCCAATAGCAACTCATGAAGAGTTGGACAAGTTATCTCGACAATTCCTTTGGGGTTCCACCCCCCAAAAAAGAAGAGCAAATCTTGTGTCCTGGGATAAAATCACACAACCTAAGAAATTTGGTGGGCTTGGTATTCGTTCCTCTAAGGAAGCGAATCAAGTAGCTATGGCCAAAGTCCATTGGCGTATGCTTACAGAAAAAGATAATATTTGGGCTAAGGCTTTTTGAGACAAATTCAATATTATTGAGCCTAGTAGCAGTTTGGACAAGGCCTCCCCTGTGATTAAAAATATAAAAAAGGGGAAGCACATCATTGATAAGGGTATTAAATGGATTCCTCGTATGGGCAATAAAATCGCTTTTTGGTATGATACATGGGTGGGTAAGGATCCCCTTAGTTCTATGATTTTTGGGCCACACCAGGTTAATGCCCCTGATATTACTATTAGAGATGCTTTTCTTTCCTCTGAGGAATGGAACTATGATTTGATCTCATATTCACTCCCTTCTGATATTGTTAATAGGCTAAGGGCCATTCCTTTTAATATCACTGATGCTGGGACTGATACTTTTATTTGGGGGTACTCTAGCAATGGTCTTTTTAAATCTAAAACTGCATATTATCTTGCTAAGAACCTCCCTTTTGACAGCAAGTGCTCTTGGTCCTGGATTTGGGATATGGATACCATTCCTAGAATTCAGATGTTTATATGGCTTTTAAAGCATGGCAAATTGCTTACTTATGACACTCTTTTCAATTGGGGCATTGTGGAGTCTAATAATTGTCCCAGATGTCACCAGGCTCCTGAAACTCTCAATCATATCTTTAGAGAGTGTTACTTTGCTAAATTGTTGTGGTCTCTTCTTACTCCTCATCCTATTAACAATCTTTTTCATGATCTTGATTTTGATGGTTGGCTCTTTGCTCATTCTAATCAATCAAAAGTTTTTGGTAGTGGGGGATGGAGTACTTCCTTCTCGTACATCATTTGGTCCCTTTGGTATTTTCGAAATCTTCTGGTTCATGAAAAGAAGAATGTCTCGTTGGTTATGGCAAGGGATTTCACCTTGTTAAAAATCAATGAGTATAAGCAGCTTCATCCGGTTTCGTTAAGTGCTAAAACGGTTTCTACTGTCTTTGTTGGTTGGATCCCTCCCCCTCCTGGTGTTGTGAAGTTGAACACTGATGGTTCAGCTGTGACAAACCCAAGAAATGCTGGTGTAGGAGGAATTTTCAGAGATGAACTTGGTAACTGGCTGTTGGGATTCTACAGGAATATTGGCTATACATCCAGCCTTTCAGCTGAGCTATGGGCATTAAGAAAGGGCCTTAAACTAGCCATGGACAAGGGATTTTCCCAACTCATTGTTGAAACTAATTCTACGGTTGCAAAAACACTAATTGATTCTGCCCATTCTGATTCTCACTCACTGGGGGTTTTAATTGATGATTGCAGGGCTATGATGTCCCAAGTCCCCAGCATCCAGTTTAGACATGTGTTCAGAGAAGCCAACAATGTTGCTGACTGGTTGGCTAAGAAGGGTACAAAGTCGGACTCTCCCTTTGTTGTGCTGAATCAATGTCCCTCCGGTCTTTGTAATCTTTTGTATTCGGATATTATTGGGATTATGACTCCCAGGACTTTTGTATTTAGTTAATTATCTATGCTATCTCCTTTTCTACCCAAAAAAGAAAAAAGAAAAATAGAGAGAGAAAAGGAACTAAAGGAGGGCAAAAAAGAGTGGATGAGTAATAGGTGAAAGAAGCATTGACCTATGTAAACCAGAAAAGGCAAAAGTTTGAAACACGGACCCCTAAATGCCAGCTAAAGAAAAGAAGAAAGAATGGTTAAATACGTAAATAACCATTTTGCCCCTCAGTACCCAACCCAGGAGGGAAGTTACAAAAGGAAATTGATGGGTAAAAAGGTGATTTTAAATACACAGAGATGCACCATGGATGTTAGGGACAGAGGGTTTAGGGTAAAAAACCACAATGCCCCCAAAACAGACCTGAAACAGCAAGCACACTATTTGAGCCACTTTCAAGATCAAATGGTAATTACAATGTGAAATTTGAAGTGAGAGAAATACAACACTACACCAACTCGTTTACGGTAACAATAATTGCCTCACAAAAGGTCTAAAATTGATTAGGACAAGCAAGAAAGTCAGTCAACCACATGATAGTGGTATGCATTTCACCTCTCATTTTATAGTATAAAATTTTAAGATTTAAAAATTTTAATTCCTAAATTAATGAAATTCATTAACTTTCAGTTAAAATAAAAAATGGCAGTGATTTTTTGGGCCGAGCTGTACAGTGATAGTCTATACTTTTGTTGTTGAAAACTTGAAAAGAACAAAAGAAGTTATTACGGGCGGATGGCGATTGTGAGCCTGTGAACCCATTGGTCTTGGGCTTATGATTGGATCAAACACCAAAACTGCCCCAATAGGCCTATTTAATTAAAAATAGAGTCTGAGTCCACATTATCATAGTGGACATAAGAAGTCCGAACGAAATGCTGCCGCTAATATTATCATATTGTAAAATTGTAAATATCCTTTTCTGAGTGAGTTCACAGTGTAAATAAATATGTAAAAATGGGAGGGCTTAGATTAGATATTTGAAAATAGCCCAGCCCAAAATAATAATACTAATAATAATAAATAAATAAATAACGGAAAAAAAATGTAAATAATTGAAAAGTCCCGCGGCGATTTCACCATCTTGCTCAATCACATTTATTGTTTTGGTTGCTAAGTCTGTTTGCTATGCTGTTAATAAGGTACCTTCGTTTGCTACACCATTAAACAAATTTTTGTCTGTTTACAACTATTCCGAATTGTACAACAATTTTTCGGTTTTAGTAATTTGTGTGAACTAGTGTTCTCTACGGGGTTTTTCCATTGTCATTCTCAATGGAACCGCAGGAGTCAGGCTTTCACCGGCAAGCAAACGGTATTGACTTCTAAATTTCATTATTATTTACTTGATCTCATGACTAGTTGCATTATCTTTAATTAAAAATGCCCTAGTTTCATTAATTACATTTGTTGAGGGAGACAACAAATGCAACTCAGCCTTAGGATTAAAACATGCACCCAAAACTGAAACGAAATGCTACCAGTGTGCGCAGCATGATCTGATTTAAACTGATAACTTCTGCATGCAGGCACTTGAGTTGGTGCCAAAGAAGATACATGGAAGGTCTCCCATATTTCTTGGCAGTTAGCTGATATTGAAGAAATTAAAGTACAGAGGAGAAGAAGAAATAAATGTACAAATTAATCTCCAGCTTTCCTGTGTTACTTAACATAGCTTTATAATAGACCCAATTCTAATAATCTCTGTTTATAGACTAGGAGAAAATACAATTTTCAATTTTTAATACTGATTTTGTAACTGTAATAATGATACAAACAATTATGTTAATTTTGTATTTGGAGTAAATGTACATTTCCTCCAAAGATTATATTTCAACATCAATCACTTTATTTAGTATATAAATAACATAAAATAGGGAATCACAATGATGAGTTTAATATATAAGCACATTCAAGTTTAACTTACAAACATATATATACACATTCCAATAAGTATATGTTATACAAATAGACACTATAATCTATATATGAAAATCTAAAAATTAATTATCCAATACAAACATTAACAACAACAACAACATAATTTGTACCTAAATATATAAATTGTTTTAAGCATCAGGAAATAGATAGTTCCTATTTAAAAATGATCTGTAAGATTGTGAAAACCAAGACTGTAATGGCATAGACTTGCGCAATAATAGCCCATGGCTTAGTAAAATAGTTGTGGATGTAAAAAGCTCGCCATTTTGGCCACCACCTCTGGCAATAAGATCTCACATCCAAGCAAAGTTGAGCATAATACAAACGGTTCATATTGGTGCCATTGTGTAGTTTGTTGAGGAAGTCAGAGACATCTTCAGGGTGTAACCAGTTATTAAAAATGTCTTTTATGGACAGTAAATCCACATCCCCAGGGGTGTCAACAAGTCCATTTAGGAGCTTTGCATAACAGGTGACTTTAGCATGGCGGAAACGGTAACATTGCTCGAAGCTGATGAGGTTTCGGAAGATTGATTCTGTTGTTGGATGAATAAGTAAAGATGGGATTTCGAGAACACCTTCAATGTTGTTGAACCTTATATCCAAGATTCTTCTTGGCTCTACTGATCTTCTGAATTTGACTCCTGCCTCTCGAAGTCTAGTAGCAGAAGGAATATTATGCCTGTTTAGTTTAAAGTCTGTGCTTCCAGTTTCTGATGAGGAGCCCAAATAATGCCATGCAAGATCGAGGATGTGGTTGATCTTAACATTGGCAAGGTAATCTGTCTGTATCTGAAGTTTATCATATGAAAATATCCAGGAGAAGACATCAATTGCAAGTTCAACCAAAGGCTTGTCTTGCTCAGAGACTCTGGTCCGCTCATACAAGCGCTCAAGCACAAACCAAGGTATTTGGTTTTCCATCAAAAATAGGTCATGATACCAAATAGGAATCATGGCATTGGTGAGGATTAACCCTTCAGTGTTGCTGCGTATGAGACGATTACTCTTCCTAAGCCTCTCTATAATAAAGCAGCCATCCAATAGCAAAATTTTCTCAAAATTTTCTCTGCTTTTGACATTGATGGCCCCCCTACCTCCATAGCATTCACAAGCCTCGCTCCTCACCTGTGATATGAGTTCTTCCAACTCTTTAATCTTATCATCTGGACTTCGGAAACGATTAACAAGTTGTTCAAGGGAGTGCATTTTGTACTTTTGAGCTTCCATCAGGCGTTGTTTGCCAAAGTGCCAGGGACCAAGTGAAATAAAATAGGGCTCATAAGCCTGTGGATTTTATCTTTTGAGCGTGGCTGGAACTCTGAAGATGCAGGCGCTTGGGGACATGGTAGAATCATCTGAAAGCATTTTTTTGTACTTGAATGTCCAATGGACATCCGATGCGGGGTGCTCGGCGCGGTTACTACCCTCTACCATAAATGGATCCCTCTGCAATACTGTAATATAGCACATTAAGAAGCAATAGGTGTTGGTTAAAAACTTCAAAATAAAATTCTAATTTCCTTTAAAGCAGGTAAAGATAATTTAAAAAAAAAAACATTTTGGTACCTTCCATTTTTGGACAAAAAGGTCAAGGATACTCCGTCGGAAGATAGATCATAGATGGGTCTACCGATGGAGGGCCCTACAAAACCGTATATCAAACAGGAGAAAAACCAGTGACAAAACTAAAGGGTGTTAGATTGAGCTATTACTCCCTCTCTTCTCTCTCCCAGAATAATCTTAGGAGTAATATTTTACTCAAATTATTTTTTTTATTATTTAAGTTAAATAAGTATT